GAGCGTGATCAGAGTTTGCCTTTCATCTAAAAGGAGAATGCATGTGCATTTCTCTTATCCCAGACAAAGAAAATTTTGAAGAGAGTAACGTTTTAGCACCTCATCAAAGTAGGTTAAGTAAAAAAAAAAAACCTGCACATCATTTAATTTATGTGCATATAATATTTCTTAGTAAATTGCTTGCCAAATATTGTTTTCCATTGTAACTTGAATGGATTGACCTAATAGACTTTTGAGATTCCAAACCAGTGGTAGTCGCCAAAAATAAACCAAGATTAGATAGTCATTGTCTGCTCCAGCCGCCTTCCTTGGAGAAACCTACTCTGCAATTGGTGGTCTAAACAAAGATATGCTTATATCGCTTAAAGATTGCAATTTTATTGTAGCCCGTAGCAGCTGTTATTTTGTTTAATATATACATTAACACTTACAGTAGTTCCTGTAAAATCATGTTTATTTTAGAAAGACTGTGGAAACAGTTCTTGCTGCCACGACTCTGTGCAAACCTATAAATATTGTGTAAGAATTTGAAAAGAAATAAATTATTATACTTACGAAAAAATTCTTGTTTTCTAGCACCACGTTCTGGTTTAGCTGCAAAGCACTTCATAGATGTTGGTGGTAAGATTTTTGTTCTTTTTACTAAGACTTTGTAAATCTTGATTGCAGAAGTGCCTTAATTTCACATTGTAATACGTGCAAGTAAATAATGCTAGCTTCATTGGTAGTTTGGCAAAGGGAGATAACTGGGTAATACCTCAGAGAGCCAGTACATCATAATTATTTTAAAACCTGCTGAATTATAAAAATATTACTGATTTTTTAAAATAATAACCGTATTGTACTTTTGTAGGCAATGCCTGGCATAGAAGTTATTTTTTGGTTTAGGCTTTAAAGATTTCTCCATTTTGACTAAACATCTATGCATGGTTCTTTTCAGTCTAGTGTAAGATCTGAATGAATTAATAACATACAGATACTCTTTTACACAGAGAATATATAGTAATGATATTCAAAAGGAATGACAGAAGGCACTGGAATACACCATTACTGTGGGTAGAATTGATTATTAGGATGAAGAGAGCTTTAGTTTACCCTTACTGATGAAAATGTAACAAATTATGTAAAGCAAATTAAATTTAAACTCGTAACTTTGTACATTAATTGACTTAAAAATTGAAAGTCTTTTGAAACAGAAATAAAACAAATCCTGCTTTCTACAAGTCTTTAGTGCTGGGTTTTTTTGTTCAGTACTAGCAACAGATTTCTTTTGAACAACAGGGTGTTTTTTTAAAGTATTTTGAGCTTTTCTTTAATCTTGATTAGAAATTCAGATATCTCTTCAAAAACAATTATTATAGTCGTGTCTATAATCAGAAGCCTTCGTGAAAGCCTCACTGTCCTTTTGCCATATCCCTGTAACTGCAACATGACGTAAATGATGTTGAAAGTTCAATTCCAGTTTTGCAGCGGGGTCTGATCAGAGCACAGGCAGATTCTCTAAGTGTTGTATTATAAAACGGCATCTACGTTGCACAGAAGTTCTCACCGCTAAGATTGTTGTAGAGTTACTCTGAGCACAGCTGTAACCACAGCAACTTAGGTAGCACTGAATGTGTATTACGTTGTTCTAATTGTACAAGAATACAGTTCTAAGTTAATTAAAATGTTTTCTGCCTCCTAAAACCCTAAGCAATTGGTTTTTCTGGCAATAGATTGTAGTAAAAGAACCAAAAACTACATTTCTGATGTGACGACATAAAGCAGATACATCTAATGGGTATCTTCAAAAGTGCTGGGTGGCCGAGAGAGCACTTTTTTTGCAAACACATTATAATTTGAGTCATAATGGAAGTTGACAAGAAAAGCGTGCTGAAAAATTGAGGCCTTTTCCTCTTCGCTAGGTTTTTGGGGGTTTTTTTTGTTGGTTTGTTGTTTGGTTCCCCAGTGTTAAACAAGAGAGACTACTTAGAACAGTGGTACTTTACTTGCTTATAGGCTTGGCTCTCGCGGTGAGGAAGGGTGACTCTAGGCATCCTTCTCTTTCTGATGCCAACCCAGCCAAAAAGCAAAGCAATTCCTAGTATAATTTAGAGCTGCTGCAGAACTACTTTATTCTCTCTGCTTTATGGCGTATCAAAGTCTAGCTGTGCCTGTGATACAGTTCTGATACCAGAGGTTAAAGAGGAGCATCTGTGCCAGCTTTGTGTCATTCAGGCTTTGTCTTAAATAAGAATTGATTCTTGTATGTCTGTTACACTAAGGTTTTTTGAGTGTTGCTGGGTAACATACAAAAGAGCACTAAGATGGGAATCAAAGATTCTCTACAATCCTATGACTTTCTGTAGTATACATGGTCTACTATAGTGTGGTTCTTTAAAGTGACACTTCTAAAACAATGTTTTTGTTTATATGAAAAAATACATATACTCTGTAACAGTCTTTTCAATCTGAAATTTAAACTAGGAAATACCAGAATGCAATCAGAAGTGCTTAGCAGGATGACCTATGTTCAGATTTTAAAAAAGCTGACAGTTGACAAACCATGAGTAAAAAACTATTACTGACAATTAGTAGAGGACTTCTTATTTTAAAAAAAAAAAAACAAAACAACTTAAAAATTTTTACATAACTAACTTGTCCTTCAGAAGTACTTTTGTCACAATGAGGGCATTATCCATTCAAGTAAAAATACATTGCCAGAAGTCCTAAGGATCAGGGAGAAAAATCAGGATCATGCAGGAATATGTTCAGAATTCACATCTGCTAGGTGTGGATGCTTTCCCAACAGTGACATGCCAAACTTCTGACAGAGTAAGACAGAATGTCAGACTGCCAATTCCAATGCATGATTTTTCCAAAAATCACTTAGATGAATTCCACCCAATACACATAATTTAGAAAAGTGCCTTAGTCCTCAGCACTGTATATAATTATTGCAACTTGCTGTTCCAGAATAACAGAATGACAAGGATCTTAACGTGTTTTGCCAGTACGCCCAGTTACGTAGAGTGATTTTGTGACTCTTTACAGAAGGAAAACTGATCAGGTCTTCCTGGATCATATTTTCCTGTATGTTCCAAGGATCATATATTCTTTGATACAAATAGTGTAGTTTGAACTCAAAATCCACACAGTGGTTAAACTCAGTAAGACTATGTCAGTGGAGGTATAATACATTTAAAGAGAAAATGATTAGTGGGGAATTCATTTCACAAAATCTTTACCCAGCTGTGCCTTTAATGGAATTTGAAATTATCCTGGCTTTGACAGTGTTTCAGTCACTCAGCACAGCATTAGACTAATTGTTTTGGCCACGAAACAATTTTTACATGTTATTTTCTTAATACGTAACTTTAACTCTAATTGTAAGTTCTGTTTGTATCGGGTATGCTTTCAAGGAAGAAGCCTGCTCTTCCTCTCTGAATCCTCTGGAAAGCTTTCATCCTCAGAAGCATGCAGGAAGTGCAATTCTTGCCTGCTAGAAAATACATCTGTACAATCTGTAGAACCATTACAAGGTGTTTACTTTATAGCTAAGCTTAGAAAATAACAGTGTTTTAGTGAGAGGTTTTTTTCCCCTCTAGTGAGTAATAGAGTGATTAAAGTTTTCAGTGTTGCTGACTTCAGTTCAGCCACAGAAATATTCATCAGTCTTTTCCATCTTTAGTTATCAGACAGTTTTCAAATCCTAGAGAGCCAGTCTCTAGCAGTAGCCGAATAGGTGGTCAAAAAAATTTGGTATCTGTTCGTTGAAGAATCTGTTTAGATGACAGCCTTTTCAAGAAATAGTTGTAAAATAAATTTCAGTATCTATATATAAAGCTGAGATTGTGTAATGCCATTGTTTAAAGGTCAGGGAAGCCATCTGACTAGATTCATTGTAAATCAGTATGGATCCATTATAACACTCCTTTTCAGCAAAAAAAAGGTTTGGCGTTTAAAAAGGGGTAGAAGTACCAATGTGCCATTAAGCTCCAGTTGCTCCAATACAAACTAAGTTATAGATTTTTTTTTTTTTATTCTCTCCCAGAAAATAGCAGCAACATCTGGTAGATCAAAAAGCTTCATTAGCGGTTAAGCACTACCCAATACATCAAGTACAATTTTTGTCATTATGTAGAAATAAACTTGCTTTCTGTCAGAGATATGAAACCCGAAAAGTTAATTTAGAATGACTTTAAGTAGCCCCAGTTGTTCTATTCTATAAATTTTCTTCAGATAATTCCAGCAAAAATGTGATGTGCAAGAGTTTCTTGCATGTATAAATCTAACCATACTACTTTAATTGGTACATTTTATACATATAAAAGCATAATCTCCATTTAAATAGAATTAGTAATCTGTAGCAATCAGTTTTGAGTATTGCGTTATATCAGAGCAGAATACTCTATTATAACAGAAATAAAACTAGCCCTCATTATGTTAAATTAGCAAATTCCATTATCAATCTCCTATGCATAGCAATATCTATCCCAGCATATGGTCTAGAAAAATGTTGTCTTAGCTGTACAGAAACACTTGAGAATGGTTTGTCAAATTAAGACTTTATCCAAAGAGCTAATGATCTTTTTATATGCATTTATGTACATATGTACATAATTTTATGTGCCAAATATGAATTCTGGCTTTCAGCTCTCCAGCTGATTGACTCATGTGAACAAATACACCAAATTAATGGGCAACTGACTGCAGAACTTGAGTGATGCTTAAAATTATTTATGCTGCCATTACAAGTTTGTTGAATCTTTCTTTGTAATGCATCTATGTAGCATGGACTCAGTGTCCACTATTGTATAAAACAAAGCAAATTATTTGCATAGCACTCTTTAGCTAATGCTTTGTGTCAGCCCTGGTTTAGCAATTATGTAAGTGCTCTAGATCATCTGGTATTCTAAAAAGGAGGACAGAATAGTACTTTGCTAGAAGCAAGGAGGCAAAATTTTCATGTTACTGTTTTATAGTTCAGCCATTTTTGCTTATATACTTGACATGTGTGCATAGGATTTGATTTTTAATATTTTAAGTATTGAATTGCATCCTTGAACCATGGTAGAAACTGTGCAAGAAAGCTCTGTGATCACCAATAAGTGGTGTACCATGATTCTCAATCTAACCGATGCATAGTTGACTTTCTGAAAGCTACATTCAAGAAATTTTTTTTAATAATTTTTTTTATTCTGGAAAACATTCATGCACAGCAACCCCTATGTTTTGTTCACTGTTACTTTTGGCAGCGCTCTGTAATTAGGGTCCCTTTAAGCAATTGCATGCAGTTAAATACCAGTGAGTCAACTTGAGAACTGCATGTTTCTCTGAATTTAACTATGTAGTTAACTATGTAGTTAATACAGTTATATAAAATGTAAGAGCAAGCTTATTTACACTTGAATGTAGCTGAATGACAATCAATTCCTTAAAGCTTTAGTTCTGTTACCCTGCCTGAGATACGGGATTTGGATCTGTGCAAATCCATAGCTCTCAAATAAAATGTTAGAGTTAAGAACAGATTTCTGCTTGACACTCAAAGAGCTGAAGTTAGCAGAACAAATGGAGCCTGAATTTGGTACAGCTGTCTTGCTTTCAGATAGGGTATTACAACTAAAATTAGTAGTACAGTGGTAAAACACTTCTTGGTATGTGATGGTGTTTTTCAGTTCTTTTTGCAAGATCGATTAGCATTTTCATATATTTCAGTATTTTCATATATATTGTTTAATTGTGCATGAGTAGTATAAAGGATGTCAGTATGAGATACTGCAATCATCTACTAATCTAAACCTTATCTAATCTACTTGTCTAATATACTGACATTTATTAACTGGATAGCCCTCTTAATTCTTTCTTATGACAGCTGGTGTTATTGATGAGGATTACCGGGGAAACGTTGGTGTGGTACTCTTCAACTTTGGCAAGGAGACTTTTGAAGGTAAGTGTTAAGCTTGGCAGAGCCTGTTTTCAGCCATCTGACTGAAAATGAGAAACTAATTTTTCTTTAGAAGTCCATGAAGAGTTAGAATTAGCTGAGAACATTTTTCTTCTTACAGTTAACAAAAACATGGAAGCTTAACAATATCCTCTCAAGGAAACAGAAAAAGATTCCACTCCTAGCAAATTAGGCAGCATGCCCCCACAAAACACAAAAAACACACCACCACCACAAAACCAAAACAAAAAAAAAAAACCCTGCTTAGCTAAGCTTAGATTCATAAGCTGAACTGAAGCGCAACTTTGTATTAAGTTTCTTGCTCTGAAAAAAAAAGGATTTAACAAAACACAAAAAACACACCACCACCACAAAACCAAAACAAAAAAAAAAAACCCTGCTTAGCTAAGCTTAGATTCATAAGCTGAACTGAAGCGCAACTTTGTATTAAGTTTCTTGCTCTGAAAAAAAAAAAAAAAGATTTAGCTGAGCAGTATTTGAGATAAAAACTTCTCCAGGATCCTGGGAAACATGAGTAATAAAGATACGATTTTCCCTTAATCACGCTGTCTCTCTGCAAACAGCCAGTTTTAAGCCTCAGGGCCACTTACAATAGTGCCAGTGTTCTGCAGCCTTTCTGCAACTTCACAGCATAAGCTTCTTATGGAAGTTCCGTGAACCAGATTGGGTAACCAGAAATTTTGTTTTTCTTTTATCAGTTTTGGGTTTTTTCCCCCCAGAGAAATCAGTTCCTGGGTCTAGTTCACAAAAGGAGACACATTATACATACAGCTGTCTCTCCATCTCTGCAGGATTTATGCATAATGACACTTAAGATGCCACAACATGGCAGCAGGTTTTTTGGGGAGATGCCTTGAGCTGGTACTGCTGCTGAAACTTCACCTTAAAAGGACTAAGCACAAGTTTACCTCAGCCTGTATTTTTCTGGGCCTATTAACATCTGCTTAACTAAGTTTCAAATAAGTGTTTACACTTTAATACATTCTGATACTCTTGAAAGGAGATTTTCTAAACTTTGTATGGATTGTTCACTTTTTTTGAAGGAACTAATAATATTTTAACTTCATTGCAGTTAAAAAAGGGGATAGGATTGCCCAGCTCATCTGTGAACGCATTTGCTATCCTGAGCTAGAGGAAGTTCAAGTAAGTTGTCAAAAGAAAATATTTCTGCTATTTTCAATAATTAATAGTTTAAGATAGTGTATATAAGCTGAAATTTATGGTATAGATAAATACTTTGCTTTAAAACTACTTTCAGTGTTAAAACTGCCTAGTAGCATTGCTACCTGAATAAAAATCTTGATGCTTGCATGCATTTACATGGATTTTTTTTTTGGTAGTTTTCAGAATTAACAGGTACTTGAGAAACACGTCAGTATATACTGGAAACTGTTGTCTCACAATGTGGGATTTGTTTAAACTTGTACAAAAGGTATTCTAAAATGTCTCTTAAAATTTTTTTGGTTTAGTTTCTCAATTATAGCTATTGTTACGAATAAATGTACCTTCCTCTATGATAGACAATATCTGTTGTATGGAAACAAAAGGCAAGTTAAGACACTAATCCAACTTAACCATAATTGATGTCTTTCAGGCTCTAGATGATACAGAACGTGGAGAAGGTGGCTTTGGTTCTACTGGAAAGAACTAAAAATTATTTGAATATGCTTTCTGTATTTTTTCTTATTACGCTATTTTTAAATTTTCATTTGAATTAGAAGTGGGATTTTGGAGTACATAAAAAAAAATGTCAAGTTTTATTCAGACTTCTCTGTATCTGTCCTCCCGTCTATTTTTACAGGCAGTCTGCATTATGGGGAATGTGCATGACTGACTTGATTGATTAGTTGATGGATTATTTTTTCTTCTTAGATGTTCGCTCCTCAGTAATAAGAACTCACTGTTTATGTGCTGATTATACTCTAATAAATTAAAAAATAACTTAATGATTTTATTTTATTTTACTCACCTAAACTAAAATGGCTGATTGTTCCCTTGCCAGTTTGTGTTAGTCTTCTGAAAGCTATCTTCCATGTAGCTCAGTATTTCATGCTGAGAGCCTATTTCATACAGAATCAGTGATAATACAGGTATCGGTATGACTTCCCACTCTGACCCCTAAATGAGAATAAGGCAAAGATATTTAATATTGCATTTTCTACAACCTGTCAAAATACTTGTGTTTCTGTTCAAAGCTAAAGTTCTGTCTTTGATCCATAACTGATCCTCAGCTGATCCTCAAACAGCCAATTTTTCAGCTCTCTATTAAGAAGAGCAGGCAATACAGTGTTTGAGCTAAATAACACAACTCATCTGGAAATAACTTTTATATAGTAAATAAATGCTACGAAACATGCTATTGAAATATTTGTTGACATTCATTAATAAGTTACTGTATGGAAGAAAGATTCTGAATTATTGAAGCAGTGCACGAATTGGTTTTTTTCAGTTCTGTTTTGACCAGTTAACATGGAACTCTTTTGGAATCTGTCCCGAACCTGATGTCCTTAAGTGTGAGAATCTCTTAAATGACTCAAAAGTTTTCAGGTGAAAGAACATGCACACAAGAGAAGGGACAAAAAGGAAAGAATCTTGAGTATTTTGCTACTTTACAGAAAAGAATTAGAAAAGGCTGTGAGGCTCTCAAACACCTTTTTGGTTTTTGCTGCAGCTGTCTTTTTTTAGATTTTCTTAGCTGAAAGGTCACAGGGATGAAATACTGTGTGTTAAGTAGTGTTTCAGCAGTGGAAAGGTAGGCCCTTTTGTAGACTAAGGTGTTCACAGCATTCTTTTCCGTGGTAGTCTCAGATCATAATAACCCTGTTGGTATTAGTTTCATGTCCTTGTTTAAGACTAACCATTTCCAGTGAAGTAGGCCCAAAATTTTGCACATTTTATACATTTTACCCCCTCCCTTCCCCGGGGAGCTGGAAAAAGTGTAATATGACAGCATTCAGACTCCTTCAACCACAGGATAGTCATTACCTTGACTTGGCAGTGCTGAAACAATAAGTACATTCATCTTTGACTAGGGTAGAAGTCTTTCCCTCCATGTGCATTATATGCTTATCAGTCCTTTTTTTTTTCCCCTCTATGCTCTTATCACAACACTGTACTTATATCTGTATACCCAGACCTTCATAAGCAGGCTTACCATGCCAAAGCCTATTGTAAGCAAGAAGCACATCATACCAATGAAGTTTTAAATGAATTGGAAAAGCTGATCTTGACACTGTTTCTTCTGTTCTATAACCTGCCAAAAAGGAACTTCAGTTACAAAAGGCTATTTAAAGGTCTTAAAATAACCATGATCCTTTCGTGTAAAGCTGTTTCCTCTTGCTGGACTGTAAGTTGAGAGCAAGTTTTGCTGCTCCTCTTTTCTTTCCTCCCCACCCCCAAAGCAAGAAACCAGCAGGGGATACACTGATGCAAGTCCTTTTTAAAAGATACTACAAGATGATCTCGCTTGGAACAGCAATCTACAAGGAAAAAGTTTATCGATACTTACAATTTGTTGTACCTGTTGGAAATTGATCTAATTTCCATTTTTGAAAGTAATACTAATACTCCAGATTCTGAGATAAGAAGGAATAGTATTTGCTAGAAAAAGCACTAATCTCAGAAGCTATCTCTCAGACACACAAGGAAGAAAAATTTACAGATCCATGCCTGCTGTAATTTGTCAACATACAGACTGTTAGTAAGTGTCATTACCAAAAAAGGGCTCACTTATTTTGAAAATTGGTATAGTTGAATTCCTTTTCATCATTTCTCAATACTTATCTAGAGAAGCATATAAGAGTTTAAGATTACTGCAAGGCTCGTCCCAGTAGGACTTTGGAAAAGTCTGTGTATCTGAAACAACGGAAGTGTTTTCAAGCTCATCTCTACCCTGAACTCCTCCCTGTGCATCAAAACCATTGCACTAGGGTAACAAATTCTGGTAATTCCTTTTATAGTGTTGGGATTTTGCTTCAATATGAGTAGCAATCTGTAGAAGACAAATACTTCTAACCAGGCAACAAGAGTTACATACCAACGTATTGAAAGTTCTTGAGTTGATACTTGCTACTGTAGCCCAAGGTCTGTACTGAAACTTCTAGAAACTTTTTGTTTTGAGTAGAGAATTCTTAGAACAGTATTCGCTACTTTCTGGTTCAAACCACACTGCCTACATCTCTTCTCACTTTTTTTTTTTTTTAAAGAAAGTCCCACAATTTCATTAATACGAAGAGCAACATCCTCCAAATTATTTTCATGTTCCCTTTTTCCATTAATATTACCTATGCTACAGAAGTATTTCATCTTGGTATCTGGCAAACATACACATACACAGGAGGCACAGAACAGTATCTGTTGCAGAAGCTAGTTTTTAACTTCCCCTGGCTCTTACTCATACAACTCACCCTCTCCCTATAAGCAAGGGAAAGAAGATTGGCACTTCTTCAGCAAGGTTTAAATTTCCCTCTTTATAATGGTACATTTTAAGCTTTAATTAGCACATTTGATCCTGTTTTAAACAAAAATCAGAATGTTTAAAAATTTTTATATTAGCAAAAGGAAGAGAGGTCTGGGAAACATGTTGATCTTGTTCATTACTGTTATCTGAGATCTGTCCTTCTGCCTAAATTAACTAGTTGTAAATTATTTTTGTAATTCAATGAAAAGCTGCCTGTGTCATTGAACAACATGCTTGAGCAAGTAACCTCATGAGAAGCTAGATACCAACATGCATAGCTCTTACTTCTATCTAGACAGATTCATGTCTCCAGAACCTGTCACTGAGGTGTGATGCCCAGGGCTCACTATAGGTATGAAACTGAAGAGATGTAAAGCTCCAAAGCAAGTCCAAAGTATAATGCTATTTGCAAAAAAAAAGAAATTAAAACTACATTAAATAAAAATTATATTAGGCTGCTCTCCATTATCACGGAACAGGTTCCGACAAAGCTATTTAAGTTTAGACTTTCAACTACTGTTGTAGAAGGGACATGTTATCTCCAAGAGGAGTTACCTAAAGCTTTGGGAATGATCTTGTGGAATGTCCTCTGTGTAAGTGGAATGTGGAGCTTTTATAATGGAAAATAATTTGTTGGGAATTCTCATCTATAGCAGAAAATGGCTTTTTCCTGCAGGGAAAGGAAAAGGACATTACTAACTAATAATCTGCCTCCTTTCTTTTAGAAATGGATTTGCCTTGTTACAAATAGAGAGAAATTCTGGCCTTCATCCCCAGGTGAACTCAGAGGAGAATGCTAACTTTTGAATTCAGATGCTTGGCTCCAGATTCACCCTGATGGTTTGGGTTCTATTTTGAGATCTGAAATGGTTCCATTTTCTAACTTGGACTGAAATACGTATTACAACTTGTATTTCCTTACCAAGGCAGAAGCTGATAACTGATGAGGGTCTTGAAGGAACAGGTGATCACTAGACAATTCCTACCATTTGAACTCTCCACTTACAGACGAAAATCTTAAAAGAAAAATTATGGTAATGATACCATTGATCTTTAGCCCTTTTCTTGGTTCCCCAAAGTATTAACCTGGTCTTTAGTGGTTGTGAATTTAAGCACTGCTTCCTCAGTTCAGCTCCAGTTATATTACTCTGTGACATGTTAAGAATTTTTGGGGGCTCTGTAACGTTTTTCAGTAGACCAGCCACTAGATGGCACTTAAAGTTTGCTTTCTTTTCCACTTTTTTTCCAGAGGTATTTTTCAAAGATCTGTTCATCTATAATTAAGAGTTGATGACTCCCATTGGGACTATGTTGGCGGAAAGCAAGATGCAGCAATATTTGAGTGAAAGCAGGCAAAAGTATAACCATTAAAGGGGGAACAATGACTATAATTTAAATAAGATTTGGGTGGTTGCAGTGTTTGCATAATCCCTCCTGGCATGCAAGAGCAGTAGAGAAGCCTGTGGCTTTGCTCTCCTGCTGTGTTTCAACAAAAATGGAAAATTGTAATGAACAGCAACATTTTTCCTATCTTTCATATTCACTCTCTTCTTACTCCCCCTTCCTCCATTCCTTTAAGTGGAATGCAGTCTACTTAAGGATTGCATTGTAATGAAAGTAGTGTATAGCTTGGTAAACTGCATTGGATTCTTCAAATCAGATGCCTCTTGCTGCAAGTTCAGGACATAAATCAAAAACTTACTTAATACGTGTTAACCCAGTAGAGGCAGGTGACATATAGTGACCTGAATTATAAGGTTCCCTGGTTTCTCTATTGGTTGCTACTCCTGCAATAGCGCAGTCTGGTGCTCTTGTATTTGTCTTCCCCCCCTCCCCCCCCTCTAATTTTTTGTTTTAAATAACTATCATTGTATTTTGGCTTAAAGATGGTTAAATAAGTTTCGGTATTAAGTAAACTTCTATGACCCTGCCTATTTCCTGTCCTGTCAAACCTTTCCTTGTAAGAATAACAGTGTCCTTTTATTTGGTGGAGTGTAGCATGATGTTTTTGGCAGGGCCAACATTTTTGACTTGCATAAATTTGTGACCTCGAGTGCAAGAAAAGTGAATGCTTGCTTCAGTGCCTCATGGTTTCTGCCTAAAAAGAAAAGTGTCCACATAGCTAACCATTACAATTTCTGAAGGAAAATTATCAGCACACTTATTCCACCTGATTGCACATGACTGCACTTCCAAAGAAAAGAATCAGAAATAAAAATAAGTATTTTGCACCTAGTTATGTAAGGTACCAAAAGTCTGAAAATATAGGGCAGACTGTACTGCCTTACTGGTTTCTAGAATTGGCACGCAGGGCACTTCCCTCACTAACAACTCTTTGGCAATCTCTACCTCAGTGAGGATGTGATTCTGCAAAGTGTAAATTTGGGTCTGCTGCTGGGCAAAGAATGTCATTGCATGGTTAAAGGTTGCAGGATCAGGTCTGAAGTGAATTAATGTAATTATTTTCCTAAACTTTCCCTCCATTAACTG